AAAATCCACATCATATTAATGCGTTTATTCACTCGTAACCTGTTTTTGCAAAGTGTAACATCTACGAAGTTTGTATTATGGACTGGGAAAGAAACAAATAATCAGTCGGAAGGCTGTGTGGCTCTATGAAGAGAGAACGAAGGGCCTGAAGAATGAATGCGTTATTTGGGATAACCTGTGCATTTTAGCACATCCTTTGTGCTTTATTTAACTCATCTTTACTAGTCTTGTCCGGGCACTGAATAACAGGTTCAATTTTTGTATCGTAACTACCTGTTGAATCAGTGGTGCCCGGTGACCCTGCTGGGGGATGAACGAGTGAATGACAGCCCTATTTCGTCATGGTATATGCTGAAACTTTTGGGTCTCCGTGTTGGAAGAAATGAGACTTCGAGTTGTTTGGTCTATAACATTCTAACCGCCATCCAACACACGACGCCAACGCCCGCCTATTTTAAATTTGTTATCACTTTCGGGAAGGCTTGTTCTCTTAAAATTCCGTCGCATTGGTGAGACCGTTTCGAAATTTGAGGTCATTGCAAGCTTGTCGGGTCCTATTCGCAGTAAAACCCACCGTCAACTCAACGACCGATTAATAAAAGTTCCAAACTGCGTGTCCTTCATTAAACCTTAGTAAGTACTCCGAAGTGCACGAACTTAAAGTCTTTAAACGCTTCAATGCGGGAAGTTGATCAAAAATTTTCTGCCGTGATAAGCTAACGATGAAATTTAGAAAGCTCTCTTTTCGAGAAATACACTCATTTGTATATCAATTTGGTTTTCACGAGAGAATCTATTGAATCTCTTGTTGTCCTCCAGCTGAATGCGCTGCACACAGGCCGCCTCATGTTTCAGTTGGCACGATATTCGAGATATCGCAGTATAGTTTCATAAAAGAAACTACTCACAAGGTTGCTGTGTGCAGCACATTCAGCTGGAGGACATCATAAACGAGAGATTCAATAGAGTCTCCCGTGAAAACCAAACTGATATGCAAATGAGTGTATTTCTCGAAAACGGTGCAATTTGGGTTCAAGTAGATCATAAGGTTGACGGAAACTCGGGGACTGCGCCTACCCGATGAGCTCCAAGAAAAACGAAACCGGTCGTGGGTTGTCGAAGAGTTTTCAGCAACCTTGTGAGTAGTTCCCTTTATAGAATGCTCTCTATTGAGTAGTGGCTTGTTTGCTATGTTGGCAGCAATTCGAGGTGGACGAACCCCCAGGTAAATTAGATATCGGTCCTTAACGAGCAACGCTCAGGAGTCCACTGTTGGCACTCACTAGGCCTATTCCCTCTTTGCGAACGAACGCGCGGCAAAAGGAATACGAATGAACGGGAAAGTCCGATTGTACAATTGGTGCATTTCGCAGTATAATCGTACTTGAAAAATTTGCATTCGCAGTAATGTGAATCAACAAGCCAGATCAGCTGAAAAGCAGAGCTTGAAATTGGGGTTGAAACCTTTCTGTTAAAAACAAGGTTTAACCATTTCTCTTGTTTGGGAGAATACTGTAATCGATACGTCTGCAAGCAGAGGATCAGAGTCTGATTTCTCGCCTGGTTCTCTGGTGTTTTATTCGCACTGTGCTTGCTGCTATTCTATCAGCCACCAGCACAATATTTGTTCCGATCTTCTCATGTACAGAAATAGTGGTTTGGTTCAGAATAAGCCGAAACAGTGCGTTTCGCTTATAACTACGAATTATGGGTGTATACTTGACAACCCGACAGTGTCATCAAATAACTGAAGTGTCTGTCGAAGACAAGAGCCCACGCAGCCAATCAGCTCAACCGTTATACATTTTCTACCTGAATTCATTAGGTCCCGCGCCGCTCTTTCTGGCATCGTACAATTCAAAAACCAGAATTAAAAAACCACCTAGTTAGTGGAAAGGTTGCGGGGGCGATTCTGTCGTCAAGTGTGGTTGCAGAATCATTCGTTTAAAATATTTTCCCAGATCTGTCACAGTAATGGAGCCAATAAAGAGGACGCACAGGGTAGTTATGTGCTTCATGCCACTGGGTAACATATACATAGAGGAGTTGCCACAGAACAGCGTGAGAGAAATGGAACTACAAATGGGGAACTGAATCCTGAGCTTGACATGACCGCAGCAAGGGCTAGATTTGGCTACTGCTTGGTGAATAAAATTCAAGCGGTGACTCTGTATTTGAGTTTAGCCCATGAGCGCGGTAGTGGGATAATTGGGTTGTTTCACAGCCCCTGTAAAATCAGGGCAGTTATTAAAGCATCTTTATTTTCCAAAGTTGATGGACGTCTTATTAGCCCAATTGCTTTTATTCAAGTTTGACGGAAATTCCGCTGCAGAAAAGAATACATGTAGACAAAACTGGAGTAAACACGGTTATCCTAAACCTTCTAAAGGCTCAGTGGTGACAATTTTGTGGATCGGACTGAATAACGGATTCCTCCTGCGTGCCAATGCTAAGGAACATTCTGGGACCTGAAGGAGTGCAGCTGCAATTGGCGGTGTGCCTTTTCCCCCCTTCTAGTGTACAGCAACTGTCTGGAACACAGGGTGCAGTCTATCAGGGCCGAGGATACAAATTCAAGTGTATTTTTATCTCACGGCTTGAGTTTGGTGAAACAGGAACCAATGAGCTCGTTTGAATGCCTTAAGATTGAATAAAGCGAATCAGTAAGTCTTCAACATACCGCAACACCGTACACCATGAGGTGGAAAGCTAATCGGCGAGACATTAGTTTTCCACTTCTTCTCCATGCAATTCCCTCATTTATCAGGGTGAGTATTCATTAGATTCGACCCTTTCCACTTCACTGAGCTATTAATCGTAATTACCCTATACATCATTTTACATTACACTGCTTGCATCTATGGGGTATCTGGTCACCATTTTTGATCGGTCTCAAGAGGCCTGCTATTACACGGGGTCGAAAAACCATTTCCTACAGCGTTAAGTAACAGAGAATGTTAGATTTATATTGATGATGTATTCACGCAGCACCCTGGCATAATCAATCTACTTCAGTTATCTCTTTTGCTGACTGTACTGTGTGCCGCTTGAAAAGCCGAGTGAACAGGACGGAGCAGCGTTGAAATGGACAAATCCCAACGAAACACAACGGATCGGTTTGCTGATGTAGTGTAACCCGAGCTACCAATCATCTGACGAATGAAGTCACGCTGACCAATTTTGGTGACTTGCAACGGATGGTTTTTAAACTAATTCCACATCAGAAGAATCAGAGCCCACTCCGCTACGCAGCACACTGTATGACGCAGATTTGTTCGGAAGCAAAAAGACTGGGTCACTGAAAATTTGCTCCATACTTGTCTTCTAAGTATGATGAACAGGCAGCTCAACAGAAAGCAGAAAATTGTGTACTTTGGGGTAGATTCAGGGCACACCATCCAGTCACAGAAATTCAAAGTGGTCTTTGTGATCCTGCGGTGTATTTCTTTGAGATTGTTGGCAATAAAGAATGTCCAGTGAGATTGTTAGGTCTGACCTCAGCACTTGATATGTTATGGATAGTTTTGAGGACGCATATTTGGGGTGCTTTAAGGAATGATTTAGAAGTCGGAATACTTTTGACCTGAGTTTGGACTTCATCCGTCGAGAACGGCTTTGTAAGCAGTCATCCCCACTTACAGCCAATGGATTTAAGTTCTTGCAAAACAAGACATCTCTCTAATATACAGACTGTTTCAATACCGATTTTCGAGAACTCCAGGGTTGTTCATTCGTTCATCATTATCATCATTTATTCGTAAACAATTTTCACTGACGAGGAAATCAAATGGAGTCCACCTTATTCCTTCGTTTGTAATAATTACGACTGACTGCCACACGCAAATTTCGCCAAATGTTTCAGTGAGAGCGGTATTTATTTGAGGAATATTCGTCTGCACCTAAATCAAAATATACTGCGAAATCAGGTTGACAACAAGTGACTATCCCCATGAGTCACAGAAGGGGCGGAACCGATGTTTCCATGAAGCTTCATTTAGTTTTACGTCAAACAAACTAAGTTACATTTTACAGTGCCTGTCGTCATATCGCTTGTGGTCGCCCTAAATTTAAAATTGGTTTTTCGTTGTTTGTCTGGTCAGAAACAGCTTTTAAGACGGTTTATTTCGCGAGTCTGCAAAATAGCTGAACACAAGAGCCCCTTTGATGATCCGAAAGGGTCCCAAAAGTAACTGCATACAACGTGCTTCTCGTAAAAGCTGTAGGAATGAAATGAATGATGCCTGGGGTGAGCTGATTATTCCAAAGAAGTCGCAAAACCGTGTGCCGTTTTGATCATTTACTCTAACACCGATTAGCCGGTTAGACCTTTTGATTTTCCGTTCCGGTAGCTGTTGCTAGTTTAATGTATGGCTATAGGTAGACTTCGTTGTATTTTTCAGACGCCCCCAATTCGAATTCGTAGGGTATAACCAGTCTGGAATCAGATCTAGCTTCCTCATACGCGACTGTCCAAAACAGATGCTTGCGGTAACTTTCTCGCACACCTTCACTTTTTCCATGGCCGATTGAATTACAACTGCCTCCTGATTGGTGAGATTTATGCTCTGCGCGTTTGGATTCGTGGATTCGTGGTGTGCAGACAAGCCCACCCGAGCGGCGTGATTAACTGGCCAATTAGCTCTTAGCATTGTTGTTCAAGTGGTGTGCGTGAGCGCGAGATGGATATCACTGTTGGTCTACGTTTCCTTATGCCAGTGACATATTGTACGTACCCTAGGTTTTACGGGGTGGGAGTGGGGGTGCTGAGGTTGGAATTGAAGGGCGAATCGTATAACCTCTGGACGGTAGCCACAATACATCAAAACGGAGGAAGTAAACTGAACCGACTGCTAAGGACATCATTAGAAGGCGGGTTAATGGAGTAGTTTTCAACTAAGGTGTTCACATTCACATGCCTTAGTCATGCGGTTTGATACCAAATTCCGTATCTTTGTTGCAGTGTGAAAAAAGCGAACATTCGGCGCATCCTTCTTATACAAATGGAATCGAAGAACACGAAGCCAGTCACATCAGGATCAAAAGTTTCATCGAGCTTCTCCATCAGGCAACTGTTATGCTTGTCCGAGCCTCCATTTGATTGTGAACATCCTACAACTTTGTACTGTTCCAAAAAGCAACCGATCAGCAATGACTCGTTAACACGAGCAGATGAGGTGCTAGACGAACCCCCGTCAGATCCTGTCACTGAGCACAAGTCATCTTCATGCTGCCCACCTGAACTATTAAACAGATTTGTGAGTTTCATTCAGCAACAGCAGCAGCAACAACAACAACAAGAACATTCGGAAAAAGACCATCTCCTAACTTCGCGTCCATTTATGCACCATTTATGGCGGTTCTCTGAGTTGTTTGGGATGGACGACGCATGTTTGGAAAACTACAATTCCAAAAGAAACCTTTTGACTCCAACAACCTTCGTTCCTAATCAAAGTGGAGATGGCTTGGTGAAAACGAGCAGACAATTATCTAGCCACAAGACTTCTAGTGGACTGGATGCAACTCGATGTAACTCAAACATTTTGACAGGAACTCTACCAGAATCAGCTGCGAATGATTTACCCCCGTTTTTTCTCCACAACAATGGTGAGCTAACTGTCTTTGAAACTGAATAGCTTTCACTTATAGAATGTTTCTGATGCACCAGAAAATAGGACAAGATTTGAAGAGAATTAAATGAGTGCTTAATGAGGGAATCAGCATTTTTGAAGGCAAATGTTTGGTTGGTGTGACGGCAACCGCTCGACTGAGAAATAGTTCGTTGGGTCTTATTGAACTAGAAGCTCAAATTCATTCACTATTAGGCTTCATGGAGAAACACACGCTTGAGTCTTTACAAGAGCCAGCAACCAAATTTCACGTAAAAGCAATTGGTGAACTACTTTTGGAAAACTGCTGAGAGTATGTCGGAAGGTCTGCATTGATTTAACATTGTATTATGATGTAAGATCCAAAAAATGATTCAGAACCACGTTTGGTCCATGTTTAAGAGCATGTCTAGGAAAGCGGTACGTTTTTTGCCTTAATTGGCCCCATTCATTGAGTGAATCGGAACCCACGAATATTCTGCTTTACTCGCTCTTCTATTTTGCACTCATCATGTTGACGTGGTGATTGAACTTACACCAGATTCTACACGTAAAACACTGATCATTGGGTTACCCTGAAGCCTTCGGCAGCCCATGGCCGGTTCGACCCTTTTTAGGGCTTGCCATGTAGGCTAAGTCCCCGAGTTTCCCTCAACTGCATGTTCGGCGTGAGCCCAGATTGCACAATATTTGACGACAGTCTAAAACGGGGCGCTCACCTAAACACTGGCTCACACATTTGTTGAACAGTTCAAACTATGACGAATTGGCTCTTTGTTGACTTGAGATAAGAAAAGCTCCACAGGTGAATGAAGCTTGCTTATTAGTTACCCGTGGATTATTGCGGGATATGTAGCACACATCGCCCATTCGTAATGAACACCCCCTCCAGTCCAGCAGGTTCCAGGCGCCCTTGTGTTACCTCTTTTTTTGTCAGACATGCCGATCGGTTAACAATTGCAACAAAGTACCGGCTCGCAGCTCGGCAAACTGCGGCCACCAGCTGCATCGTTCAAACTGCGTGGGCGTCCATTCCTTTCGAACGTAGTTATTAAAGCCCGTCCACCAAAAGCTGGCTGCGATGCGCAGTCGCTTAACATATTCCAATTCCGAGGTTCGGTTTGCTGCAGGGTCAACGTTTTGCACTGTTAGTGAGTTCTAATAGGAGGCAAACACTTTAAAAGTATGTCCTTATCATGGTAACCAATTGTCATGACTATATTGGCAGAAGTGAAGATCCGAATAAAGACGGATATTTGTCTGCTACCAAAGAGTTCTTGTAAGATTGCTTGAGCTGCCGCTTAAAAGAATGGTTGAAGACGCGTCCTTGAGCTACAACCGAAGAACCAGAAAGTGTATTTACGATTTTTTCAGTGGTATCCCTATCTGAAGCTACGATGAAATACGTGGCAATGAATGCGGATATTATAAGCTGCATGCCACAAATGTAAGCGCGAAACGACTTAGGTTGGCGGACATCCACCATTACATCACTTGGAGTCATTAGATGTGAAACACAAGGACGCTCAGCAGACAATCTTGTCCCTCAACTGCCTGTGGCATCGCAATGAATTGTGCCTTGTGTAACAAGTAAAAACGCTGGGGTCAGCTTCCTATATGCTATATGAGATCCGTGAAATTAATAATTTCATCTGATGACCACCTCACGAAGCACAATGCGAGCATTTTCGTCAACAAAAAATCGCATGGGGCATGTAAAAACAGTTCCCAACAACTTGTGAGCTTCGTTCCTTTGTACTGTGTGGATATGTTTATTTTGTGATATGCATAGATAATCGGGAAATAGTTGACGGCTTTTTCGTTCCTGTCAAAGTGATTGCTGTTATACTGCTAAGTTATCACGACACTGCAGCCCCATCAACAGTAAGATATCTTTATGCCTCGTGTCTTACGCAAGAATGTCTCACTTTCCAGATAGAGTGTGACGCATGGACGTTCGCTTAATGACCAAACATGAAACGGCTGACTGTTATATTATATTATTATATTATATATTACATATATATATTATTATATTATTGGCCTCAGTATAATATACCTTACTATCACCATGTCTCCCCGGCAATCTGTCGCCCTCATACGAATGCACACGGCGCCAAGCGCATTTGAAATAGCTATCCAACGTTTACGCTCGGTAAACCTCACGAACTAAGCGATTTGTCTACCAAAGACTTCTCCGTATCTTTGATGCACACACTCAGCGACAAGTCGTTTGAGTTATTGATGTTTTACACATTTGTAGAAAACAGACGTGTTGTCATACATAACCTGACACCCACTCCACATACCACGTTATGAACTTTCGTGCGGATGCAATTAGTAGTAAAGATACGGAGATCATCAGTGAATACTGCATCAACTGTTACTGATGATCAGGAAGAACTGGAACGTTAACTCTCACTTAGCGGTTTTGCATTATATATGTCGCAAATAAAAAGGTGTCTGTGGGTTGAATGGTGAGCGCTTTGAGCTCGATTACATCTGGTGCGTTACACCACAAAAGCCTCCTAGGAAAAATCATTTTTAGTAGGGATACTGGCGATTGCTTATCAGAATTCATTTAACCAGGTGTACCTGACCGAAGTGAGGTTAGATGCCACTTTCAGGTTGGAGCGTCATAGGAAAATTGCGCCGTGCATGATGTTTGTGAGGATGCCACTGTCTTCTTAGTTCCGGAACCTGAACCTGCTTCTAAATATATGCTAGTCATAACTGCAAACAACCATTTGGAAGCATACTCAAATAACAGAGCAACTCAATCTAAGACGCCCATCTAGAAGGACGGTGGGTTATGGTCTCTGTGGAGAGGTGAACGCTGTCGAGAGCACGATGAACACATGTTCATCCACTTACTGAATATGTTTCAAGCAGGGAGTCGTTTGTCTCGGTTGTTGCTAAAAGAATATTAGGAACAAAACTTTCAATCTCCCGGACATTTGTCCTTAGGGGTCAAACAGTAGAGATGATGTTTTAAAATTACTTATTTCGACAGTTTCTGAAATGAGGTTTATGGAAACAAACGATTTACCATTATACTTAAGTTTAGGCCTTAGTGAAACGTCGACGTATAGTCCGTGATTCGAGACGATTTAAATCAATTTCTTGCTTGTATTACCGTGCGACTGAAAGTGCTGCGAAAATGTCACCTCGTGATTTACTTGAGATGACGATATAGATGTCGAGATGTATTTTTTTCTTGTGATAATGCTTACGAACTTACAAAAATACTCTTAGATAACCCATAACAGACTTTACCCATTTAGGATCCACGGATCTTATCATTCTTAGTTTGTATATGAGCCCGAGTGCGATCGCAGATGAAGATGAACAGTCATCTCCTTTGAGCTCGATTACATCTGGTGCGTTACACCACAAAAGCCTCCTCGGATTGCTTATCAGAATTCATTTAACCAGGTGTACCTGACCGAAGTGAGGTTAGATGCCACTTTCAGGTTGGAGCGTCATAGGAAAATTGCGCCGTGCATGATGTTTGTGAGGATGCCACTGTCTTCTTAGTTCCGGAACCTGAACCTGCTTCTAAATATATGCTAGTCATAACTGCAAACAACCATTTGGAAGCATACTCAAATAACAGAGCAACTCAATCTAAGACGCCCATCTAGAAGGACGGTGGGTTATGGTCTCTGTGGAGAGGTGAACGCTGTCGAGAGCACGATGAACACATGTTCATCCACTTACTGAATATGTTTCAAGCAGGGAGTCGTTTGTCTCGGTTGTTGCTAAAAGAATATTAGGAACAAAACTTTCAATCTCCCGGACATTTGTCCTTAGGGGTCAAAGAGTAGAGATGATGTTTTAAAATTACTTATTTCGACAGTTTCTGAAATGAGGTTTATGGAAACAAACGATTTACCATTATACTTAAGTTTAGGCCTTAGTGAAACGTCGACGTATAGTCCGTGATTCGAGACGATTTAAATCAATTTCTTGCTTGTATTACCGTGCGACTGAAAGTGCTGCGAAAATGTCACCTCGTGATTTACTTGAGATGACGATATAGATGTCGAGATGTATTTTTTTCTTGTGATAATGCTTACGAACTTACAAAAATACTCTTAGATAACCCATAACAGACTTTACCCATTTAGGATCCACGGATCTTATCATTCTTAGTTTGTATATGAGCCCGAGTGCGATCGCAAGTGAAGATGAACAGTCATCTCAGAACGATTGTGCTACGAACGAGAGATCATTAAGACACCAGTTTTAGTTTAATCATACCTTCATTTGCCAGATGTATTCGATCTTTCAGAGACACTAATGCTTCTTAGAAAACTACCTTAATGTGGTCTAGCGTGAGCGCATCGGTCTGGAGGACTGACTGTTTTACGATTAAACCAATGAATTCTCGTATAGATTCTTCGAGATGTTAGTTGTCCACATCCTGCGTCAACGTTAAACTGATGAGCATAGTTTGGAGTCGGCAATACTGTCTACGTTTTGGTGATAATTAGCGGCCACTAAAGTTTGTGTCCATTTGTACCCAACCCTAATCGACTCGACACGTTTCTTTTTCAGCATCTACCTATGCATCCATTCCGATATTCTCGCGAGAAACCAGTGGGAAACAGTACCGTCGCCGAAAAGCACGGACGGTGTTCAGTGATCATCAGCTGTTGGGGCTGGAACACCGATTTGAATCTCAGCATTATCTGTCCACTCCGGAACGCATTGAGCTGGCCAATCGACTAAGCTTATCCGAAACGCAAGTGAGTAAAATATTTGGTGGAAAAAATCTCATTCTGTTACTGGGTTGGCAACCACTTCACGTGCAAGATTCCAGATCTTTTCCAGATAAATCCCACTACTAATGCAAAAAGTGCATGTGCGGGAGGTTAAGCCCCGCCACCTTGACCAGCTCCAATTTAACGTACGCACACAACCTTGAACTATTTTTGATGAAAACAATTCCTCATCCGCATCTTGGTTCATTTTGTGCAGAAATTTTCTCCGTTCGGACGTAAAACCTTAAATGAACTTTCTGACGCTTTCAACTCTCGTCCATGACAAGGAGAGAGCAATACGTTTTTTGCAAAGCCAAGGAGTGTTCTATCAGCAACGTTTATGCAACAATGGCCGCCAAATGACACTTCCAACTGTTCCTGACAGGTGGAGGTGTAATGTCCAACAGTGTCGACAAGATATCGGTCTTCGAAAGGGGACTTGGCTGGAGGGGTCTAGGATGGATTTTAGGACAGTAATTCTATTCATTTATTGCTGTCTCAAAAATTTGGCAAAGATCAAATTCTGCTCAGAGGAATTATCTATTAGCCACACGACCGGTGTTTTGACTGGAAGAACTTTCTTCGTGAAGTTTGCACCAGGCGGCTTTTGCAGACTCCAACAGTTATCGGCGGGCCAGGTCTACACGCCGAGATCGATGAAACGCTACTATCTTGCCGTAAAAACCACGCAGGGCGAGTCCTTCCCCAGCAGTGGCCGGGGTTAATTTTTTGGCGGGGCTCATCTGAAAAAGATCCGGCTATCAAGAAAACACGTTTACTGAACAATGATGGACTAACAGTAGAAATTATCACTTCCGTTTATTAAGTCTCCCTCCACATTGGCGTAGCAGTTCGAAAGTTCGAAATTACAGCCTCTCGGATTTTCTATGGTAACGGGAATACGAGAGGCACCATAGTACATCCCTCACGAATCCCAAAAACTTCTGGACTTGCGGTAAAAATCCGCTGTGGACTACGACCAAGGAAACGACTTTTTTCTTCACGTAATCGCAATCCAACCTGTAATATCCCCTGTTCCACAAGCAGCCAAATTCAGCTTGCTCGATCTGGTTTTGCTAGGCTTTTCGAGTGACGACCCCCATCGGAAGACCCTTAAGATGACCATCCATTCCTCAGGATTTCTTTGATACAGTAACAGATATTTGTTAAGTTAGTTTGACTAGGCTGTCTTGTGACAGGACAGGGTCAAATTATATATTTCTATCAGATATAAAGATGACGGACCTAACTGTATGCTGTCGAGCAAACAATATACCGTGCAAAAGTATAATAGCATGTTATCGAATAAACATTTTAAATCAGTTTGATGCTCTGAAGATATGCTCCTCTGTTTCAAGGATAAGTAAAATTTTCCCCACGTGATCCTCTTATTCTTAGAGTTCTGCAGGAAAAAATTTCCCTGATTTAATCAGCTACGGGGCTAGAAAAAGTGTCTGATGTTTAGCTGATACCGAATTTGTCTCAGATCATCCTAGGGCAATGGTTTTCGACCGTTTTTATTCGCAGACCTGTCGGTCATTTCACGTTAACCGTGGTAGCCTGAAAAGAAGTCACACAAAAATTGATCGTATGAACCAAAACGTTTGACTTTGCGGATATATCAGCATTTCCTGTTTTTACGCAATAAATTCCTGACATTTTTTTCGCAATATGGTTACCCATCCCCTCGTAAAACACATTAAAGCCAAAAGCGATTGCTGAACCCGCATACATGTACATACCTTCTCAAAACTGCTCCATCGGTCAACGGAATGGGATGTGAGCCATTGGCTACCAGAAGAGTTACAACCAGACTTTTTTTATCCAACATCACTGGATTCGCAACCAAATAGTGAATCACTTTGAAAGTTTATATGATAATCTTCATGGCCCTCGCCTCAGTGAAGACATCCATCAAACTTTTTCATCCAACATAACTGAATTCGCAACCAAATAGGGAATCAGTTTGGAAGTTTGAATGATAATCTTCTTGGCCCTCGCCTCAGTGAAGACATCCATCACAGTACGGAAAAAGAGGAGTACCAGCTAAGCATTATACACCACTGAAGAACGGATTGGGAGAGGGAAGCGGAGGCGCCTCAAATTAGTGTCGAATAAGTGAAGTGAAACGGCATTTTTGAGGTCAGCAGTTTGATTGTCAGAGTACTCCAGATGTCCAGCGAAGGCGGTGATTTAGGTAAACGAAACATGGTAGGCGAATAGTTTTTGCAGGTCTGCTTTCTGACCACTTCTGAATGCAGTTCCTGGCTTTTGTCTAGGAAAAGCTAGTTGCCAACTTTGCTCCAAGTTCTGCGTTCCACAACCAAGTCACAATCAGACCTTCATTTGGATGTTCCCAACATTTAGATGGGCGGGAAAAGGGCTCTGTGGAGTGCATGGTCCTTTGTAATTCGAACCGTTTATCCAGCATAAATTCCGGGGTCGGTTCATCTGCCATGTAATGTCCTTCCTCCGAATTCTGTTGCCGTAATGCTTCTGACGCACGGATGGCAAAATACGGAGAACCTCTAGAAATTTGCTGGTAAAGCCTACGTTTCTGAACCAGTTAGTGACTGATTCAGAGTGAACTCAGCTTTCGACAGGCAAGAATGCGCCGTATTGCCTTTATTCCGATCAGAATTTGGAAGAACGCAATCCAACCCTCCATATTTGGCAAATTTTCCTGTTTTTTCTAAAATAGAGAGACCTTTACAGTTTTCAAAATAAGTGATTTCTTCAATTTCCAATCTAATTCGACCTGGAAGTACCACCCATATATTTGACCGACCCAGATTTAGATGCCTACATTTTTCAGTCGGGAAAGAAATGTTGTCGATAAGAGTTGTTCTCAAAATGTTCCCATGCATTTGAGTGTACAATAGCAATTTCTCAGTTGCAGTCTTTTTGAAAGGGAGTTATGAACGCGTGTCAACCGAAACGCATTCAAAGGGATTTTGTATCCGCATAATATCCTTCTATATTTTTCATGACCCTAAGACTGCTGCTCTATTGGAGACAAGAACCGAGGCATTTTGAGCATCAAAAGACAAGTTTATACACCACTGAAGAACGGATTGGGAGAGGGAAGCGGAGGCGCCTCAAATTAGTGTCGAATAAGTGAAGTGAAACGGCATTTTTGAGGTCAGCAGTTTGATTGTCAGAGTACTCCAGATGTCCAGCGAAGGCGGTGATTTAGGTAAACGAAACATGGTAGGCGAATAGTTTTTGCAGGTCTGCTTTCTGACCACTTCTGAATGCAGTTCCTGGCTTTTGTCTAGGAAAAGCTAGTTGCCAACTTTGTTCCAAGTTCTGCGTTCCACAACCAAGTCACAATCAGACCTTCATTTGGATGTTCCCAACATTTAGATGGGCGGGAAAAGGGCTCTGTGGAGTGCATGGTCCTTTGTAATTCGAACCGTTTATCCAGCATAAATTCCGGGGTCGGTTCATCTGCCATGTAATGTCCTTCCTCCGAATTCTGTTGCCGTAATGCTTCTGACGCACGGACGTCAAAAGACGGAGAACCTCTAGAAATTTGCTGGTAAAGCCTACATTTCTGAACCAGTTAGTGACTGATACAGAGTGAACTCAGCTTTCGACAGGCAAGAATGTGCCGCATTGCCTTTATTCCGATCAGAATTTGGAAGAACGCAATCCAACCCTCCATATTTGGCAAATTTTCCTGTTTTTTCTAAAATAGAGAGACCTTTACAGTTGTCAAAATAAGTGATTTCTTCAATTTCCAATCTAATTCGACCTGGAAGTACCACCCATATATTTGACCGACCCAGATTTAGATGCCTACATTTTTCAGTCGGGAAAGAAATGTTGTCGATAAGAGTTGTTCTCAAAATGTTCCCATGCATTTGAGTGTACAATAGCAATTTCTCAGTTGCAGTCTTTTTGAAAGGGAGTTATGAACGCGTGTCATCCGAAACGCATTCAAAGGGATTTTGTATACGCGTAATATCCTTCTATATTTTTCATGACCCTAAGACTGCTGCTCTATTGGAGACAAGAACCGAGGCATTTTGAGCATCAAAAGACAAGTTGTTATTTTTTCGGAAGTTGTGAAGGCATCTGAGACCAAAAGGGTGTCATGACCTGTTGAAAACAAATTGCGCAACGTATTTCGTAAAGTGATGTTCGCGATATCGCAACTAGGGATACCTGTATCTCATGCTCTGGCTTCCAAGGTGACCAAAATGATCTACAGAAAGTGTTAGTTCGACTTCCCATGTACGAGATGACAAAAGTGGCCCCAGAGTGTTTTTTTCATATTAGAAACTTCGCTTTTAATTGGGAGCTCCTAACATCGAGATAGTTTACTGATGCCTTAAACTCAAGTGAGCTGGAGCAAATAGCAAAAATGAGAACCAGACTCTAAAAAACCCGAAAACTGGATGTAAATGAGCCTCGTTGGGTAGGGTTGAACTATAAAGGCAATTGATTAGTTTTAGTGTAAAGTATCTGCTCATATGATTTATACAGACTACTTTTGATCTCGAATGCATGGTAATTCTTTGGGCTTCTGCATCATCTTCCCGCGGCGCAATGGCCATCGCAACTCTCTCTCTATCTTCCGCTATCTATCGACTTCCTTTGGAAACTCGCATATGTCAATTAGAGTAGTAAGTCTGCACACTCCCTCGAAGTTTTATTCATGAAGGACATCAATGAGCTACGGGTCGAAAGCAGCAGCGTAGCCGACTGCGGCTTGCACACACGGTCGGTGCTTTCACGCCATTCAACCGAAATCCGGTACAACTGTAGGGCAGTGAATGCCATGAGAGTTTCGAAAGGTTGTGTTTGTTCTCGGTATCATGAAGTTAGACTGATAATTTTGGCTTACAAATGAAATATAAGCAGCTTTGTCTGAGCTGTAGCGGATATTGGGTAAAAATAAGAGTGGTACATTCAGCTATACGGCGGTCAGCTTTGTGCCGTTCGTCGTTCTTGCGCAGGTAAGACGTGAGTTTTGTACATCATTTCATGTAGTTGCTTCACTTGAGTTTCAAAGGTGAGATTTTTTCTGCTCAAGAAAACAGCGTAGCTATTTGAGGCATTCCCGGAGTGTACCTAATCCAAGCCGCTGATACGAACCACTTGCCTGAACCGTCAGCTCAGCGAGAGTTCAGTAACTGTATGTTGTCTGAGTGCAGTCTGCCCCAATTGTGATGCAGTCAGGATTTGTTCGAAATAACAATTTGCATTATAGCAACTACGAACTGTCTATTCATCCGATCGGAATATACACTGTCTATTTATTTTCTTTATAGAAATACTGGCCCGAATAGCATCACTCATGTATCCATTTTAGGTGAAAACATGGTTCCAAAATCGTCGGATGAAACACAAGAAGATGAAACGTGGCTATGTCAGCTCTGGGCAAGATACGCAACAAAGTTTGCCGTTATCTGGTAAGCGCGATGGAAACCCAAACTATCCCGCAACATGCGGAACCAATTCCAGTTGCTCGGGTACAGAGGATCTTGAATACGAAAGATCACGAAAAGTGGAGAACTTTCTCTGTTTGCCGCCGTCTCCAACATCAAGTGCCAGTGCATCCGAGACCTACGTTAATCTGGAGGCAGTACAATCGGAAACTTGGAGAGCAAAACGTCAAATTGTCCTAGACACACTGCGCAACCCACCATCTAAAAAAGAATCCAAGTCACTGGTGGTTTCTTCGGAAGCAGATGTTTCCATCCCCGTCAAATGTCGCATCTCCGAATATGAATCCGCACAATCGGGAAAGGATCTGATGACATCATGTGGAGTCACTCGTGATGCTAGTGAATTTGATGACATAAAGTCCTCTGTATTCAACCCCAAGTTTCTCATGCAACACTATTTCCTCAATTGTCCAATCTCTTGGGGTGGTGTGACCAAACTGAGCAGTGGTTGATGATGTGGTGAAACATGTTCCATCTGCCCCGATTACGTAACACCCCTCAGTTGAGTCGGTGGAACACGGCCACACATGCATCATCAGCTGCGTGAGATGGAGTGTTGCATGTTGGCATGTTTCCCAATTCACAAAGGATTAACTTCGACTTTGGGAATGCAAGACGCACATCCAACTTTCGTCTCTTCATCATTTTAGCAATCCGTGCGCTATGTTGGCGAGAATGCCAACCCACCATCCAACCCCTCTGTTTAAATTTGTTTGTGCCTCCCATTCTGTGCTATCCTGTTTCCAATGCTCAATGATGAATATAGTGACCAAAGCAATTTTTTGACAAATTCAGCGAAAGTAGTATGATGGGTGCTGATTAAAGCATACGAGTAGTCTAATCGTAACATCTGATAAACCATAGTTTCAAAGTTTTGTATTTTCTAGCGACAAGCTTTAGGCTCCAACAAATTTGACAGATATTGTAACGCAAAAAGCAGAGCTGTTGAATGATCCCACTCTATATGGTTTACAAGTTCGTTTTATATGTTTACGAACTATCCTATATCTGTCGATTTGCGTTATGATATACCTTGTGAAGGTGTTCGACAACCCGTGGCTAATGCTGGAGTTTCAGCTGAAGACATAATCTCGCAAAATAGGATCTCGGCCACTGCTTCAGCTTGAAACTAAAAAATGATGCAACTTCACATGCTTATGCTACTTTTGACTCCTCACAACTTAGAATGGATGAAGTTCTCGGAATCGGACAACCTGACCCCGTAATCAGGTTTATGTATCCGTAGAAGAATAATTATCAATTGTTATCATTTATTAGCGGTGGATCAAATGAAAGAACAGTCTATTCCTTGCAGTGGTCGTAAGTCTGATCTACCTGAGATACCCTACCCTGTGTTGCGAAGAGAAAGTTGCATAAAATGTATGGAAATCCATTATTTGGACGAAACCTTTACTGGGTAGTGATAAGCGAACAGTTACTTTTCTAGTAAGGATGATGTATGTGTTCCCCTGTTCACTAAAACAACAGTTTACACAACTAGAGTACAGTGTATTAAAAATGTTTTTATGGGCTCCAAGCAGTAAGTTTATCGTGACAAAAGTGAATGATGGGCTCTAAGATGACCCTGCCTTGAAGTGGAAACGGTGACGTCGCCATATTTATGGTAATTTCCCGACGGCAGGGTTACAAGCATTCTGCGGCTCCTTTAAAAACTAGTTGGTCAGCGAAAACATATGAAATTTACTGATCACTTGCGAGAACAATCGCAGTGATTACCTAGATGAAGCTGTGTGAATATGTCCATCGCCTGGAGGGTGTCAAGTATTTCTATTTGATGGTTTCAGAGTCCCACTGCATGCTGCCCCCTTTTTGCCTTCGAAGATTTGATTGTTCCTCACAATGGATCTCAAATGCAAAAGAAGTGACGTTATATACGTTTCCGTGATGCCAGACTACTTGTATGACTCATGTTCCAACGGATCCTCAGACTACCCCCTACCGGAGAGAGAGACAGAGGGTTACTAAAACTGACCTGGACGGAAGGTTCATGTATGAACGGTTGACAGGTTGACATAACGTGCATCATATGAACAAAGCAACACAACAGCCAGTGGTCACTACTCATAAGGTTGCTGTAAACTCCTGGAAACATCAGCTGGGTTCCAGGTGAGTATCTCAAAAAAAACAAGTTAGTTTGCAAATGAGTGTACTTAGCTAAGCCAGTGGTCATGTTCATCTACTGCATTGTTCTGACTGACGTAAGCATTCAGCTAATTTTCTAGGTTGCAACATGGTAGAAAGGAACACCCAACAATGGAACCCTAATTAAAACACTCGGCCCTGTATTCTTGAAGAAAACTCACCTGCGAATTGGAAATGGTTTATTAACTTGCTCAGGATTGAACCTTTCAAGCCTGGGTGAACAATATCCCGTGGATTTCATTGTCTGAGACAAGCATGATTTTTGGGTATACTCCGCCTACTGTTGCGCTCATAGTAGCGTGAATTCACAAGCAGGAAAACACTCAGTCACTAAATCTCGGATGAACGGAAAATGCTTAAATGTTGACTCTGGCTATCCTGAAGACATAGACCGATGATCCGACACAACGATGAGGGAAAAAGACGACAAAGGACGCTGGTTTGACGAACATAAGATAGATATCAACTCGGACTGCGGCAATTCCGAGGTGAAATTGCAGTCCAGACACCACAGGTGACAAACCTACGGACACAATGTGGCTCTCCCGCCAGAAGCAAAACCACGCAATAAGCCTGGCAAATGTTACAACGCGGTTGTTACAAACAAATCGACAAATCACACTTGGTCTATAGTTTATTTGTGACGGTTGGTCGGAATTAGCTAACGTTGTTCACTCTCTTCTTCTCCGCGACCTTGAAATGCTCACTGTCATGTCGGTTCCACAATCGTACTCATAGTCTTTGAATTATTCTCAAATATTCAAAATCTTGAATGTGCCGAATGGTCTAGCACGCGCCATCACGTTTTCATCCTGTTCTATCTCAGCTATGGTCAGTACCTCCAAAGTAACATTTATCCAGTCTTACACGTAGTGAGCTTATCCCAGACTTAATGCATAAGCAACAGCCTTTCTGCGTCGTCTCGAGGTAAAATGAGAAAAAAGCTGCGAGACTAGCGTGCCAGCCTATACATTTACGTTATTTTTCTGGTTTTCCAAATCCTCCCCGCAACCAACTTCCCTGAAAGAGTTGAAATGCTTACAATGTATTTCACCACACCAAACGTTGTGCGGCGGACACATTCTCTGCATTATACCCAAATTTATATTGTTCAGAATATACCGGACAATGTATTGTGCATCTAATTCGAATTAGATTCACCACCAACATAATTCCTGGCCTGAAACCTGATCCCTATTGTCATTTTAACGTACACAATCTCCCACTGGATGCCTTCATTCATTCTTCGCAACCCAGCTTTGATTCTTTTTTCTGGAAACAGGAAATCAGCCCTTCCATTGGCAATATGTGTCACCCCGAGATTTGGCAAACTAGAATCTGATAGGCCACCATCCTAACAGAATGACCAAGCCAAATTTTGAAGACTGGAGTACAATAATAGGGGCTAGCAGTATGCAGGAAGTACTGCGATACCACCGCTTCATCTATGCAAAAGATGTAAAACTTTTCTTGCACAGGCTATACAAAGTTAGAGAAACAATCATTCTTGATGTAGTACGTTTGCTGTGCACAAGACTGTCCAGTTGAACGAAACTTATTGGGAAGAATTAACGGAAATATTGGAAATAATCAAATGCTATAGTAGCAGGGTGCAATTATGTTAGCATCCGCTAACCCTAGCCCCTACACCGAAGTGGGATATCTTCAAAGGCAACAGTAGCTACCTGATCATAAATGTCATTTAACCCAAACAGCATTCCGAGTTTTGCAGTCTACCGTCGTTTTCTCTCTATAGAGCATTCAGATACACATTGGGAGTGCTTGATTTATGCAGGTTTTCATGGGACGCTATTTCTTCAACCGTCCAATTCTGCGGATTAGCACAGGACACCTGAACGGTGGTTGGTCGAAATTAACCTGCGCCCGGACGAAACATGTTCTATCAGACCTAGTTACGTAACACCCCTCATTTGAGTCAGTCTAACATGGCTGCACAAGCCTCACCAGCTGTGTGTTTGACACAGGAGAAGGGGTATTAAGTGGTTGTTCGACCATCAACCCAGAGGGGATTAAGCTTTCTTTTGAAGGCACGTTCCTGTCTAATTGTCTGAGTTCTATGTTTATTTAGCCCCTTGTCATTCAAGCTGAATGGAACTACAAGCATTTCAATCAGTAAATGCTTTAGCTTGCAAAATTTTACCTTTTTCACTGCAGTTAAAATCCACAGCCCTGTTAACGGCCTGATATTAGGCAAAGTTAACTGCTTTTACTCCCCTTGAAAAAAGACCACAATAAAGAAGGGGAATGCTAGCCTCCATTTAAATGGAAGCTCATCTCCAAGAAGTGGTCAAAACTGTGGGTAATTTCACTAAGATTTAATTTCCTCGAAGTAGCTTATTGCGTAATAAGTGGATGAAATCGTCATTGCTAAGACGACTGACTGACATCAAAATTGGGAGTGTGAGGGCGATCCTGGAAAAGTAAAAATGCTAAAAATTGAATAGTAAATCTTTATGACTTTCAGCTTAAACGCAAATCGTGGACCTTCTCGCCCAAGAAATAAAATTATGGTGGTTGTTCAAAATGCAAACACGCTAAAGTGCTTTTGGGCTTTTCAAATTTCTAAACTTATGCTTTCTATGCTTGTGTGACCACGTTTAAATTTAAGTGAAAATTCGAAAAAGTCGTGCCAGATCTCAGGTCACTACTTCCTAAATTTGTTCTTACGTTGTTGCAATGAAGCGACGAATGACTAAAGCTTCCATATCATATAAAAATGTCAAGTTCTAATCATCTAATAATCTGTCAAGCTTTCGTAACTGCTGCTAGATGTTTTTTACTCATAGTTGGGGGTACAACATACCCGTAAAGTACGGCTATTTAGGGTCTTACGGGTGGTGGAAGCTACCGGACTATATGGAGCTGGCGCAAAGAGGGATACTACTGATGAAGCATGCGAGTAGTATGTGGCTTTCTCACAAGTCCGCTTCGGGTCTAGTGAAAGGTGAGATTTATTACGGAATTTGTGGAATCGCTTCATCGCATTCGTTTTCGTTCGAGGGATAGTCAATGAGTATCCAGGGAAGCTCAGGAATATCTGTTTGAGAAGACGGATGCACAGTTTTTACAAGATGTGCATATATGAGATTTATGAGATATGAGATATATGAGATATATGGGATTTTCGCTTTTCCGTCCAATAGTTTGTAACGGTTCCTTTGGTGTTCTCCAATAACTAACTCCGTAGCAAAGACCTTCTTCCTTTCATTTCAGTAGCTAACGGGCAGAAGGAACAGACGGTTGAGGGTAGGGGATATTGCTTTGACAA